GGGGGGGGGGGGGTAGGATATTTTAACATTTTAATACTGCGATGTGTACCTGTTGATACATATATTCATTGTCTTAATATTTGTAAGAATTATTATTTTTCTGTGTTGATAAATCTCAAGATTATCTTTATAAAATTCAATTTCTTTCTCTATAGTTAATAAAGCTTTATTACGCAGATTATTATATCTAATTATATTTTTGCAAATTTTAATATTGTGTTTAACACACTATTTTTCTATTTGTGTTACAAAGGTGTTTAATAGATCTCCATTTCTAGCAGTTATAGAATCTTATGTAATGAAAAGTATTATGTTTCATTTATAAAAAGATTTTATTAACTTGATGTTTAATCATTAATCTGAATATAAATCTAATTCATATAGATCTAATATATCAATTTCTTCTGATACAATTAGTTCTGTAAATCCTTGTTCCATTATATATATTATTTCAAAAGTAATTAAAATATCATAAATTTTTTTAACATCATTATTAAGTTTGTTAATGATATATAATATAAGTATTTTGTAGTTAATATTTTCATCTAATAGATATGTGTGGTTGTTCATTTGGGTTTACTTCTATTTATCCTTATCATGTGTTTACTAAACATATTCCCTCGAACCTCTTTGTTTATCATAGAGTTTATCATATTTTAATAAGTTATACTGAACAATCTTTTCTGGTCACTACCATATTTTTCATGCTTCAATCATTTACCCTAACAGCGCCTCAACTCTGTCTACTCCCCTAAACGGCTTCTTTGCCTACTGGTTTCCACTTTAGGATGGCATAGTCTGGGCTTAACTACTCTCAGCATTATTAGACAGGCAAACTTTCTCAAGATGTTCTTTATAACAGTACTATAACATGATAAACAATTATGATATTCAAGAGATTATAAGGAATATAAGAGTTTAGTTAAACATGATAATGAATAAACTTACCTGTTCTTGTTATTCGTTTGAACGATCCATAGCTGTTTGAGATACTTGTAAATAACTTCAGATATTTCTTATAGAGAGAGAAGATAAGAAAGAGAAGGTGAGGGTGAGGATGTCCTCTCTTCTTCTGATTTACAAAATATATAGAAAATTTAAACGACTCCTACTGTTCACAAATGACTCTTACTATTTACATTATGACTCTTACTATTCATGAACGACCTTTACTGTTCATGATTATGACTCTTACTATTTACGACTTTTTTACATGACTCTTACTATTTACTTTATGACTCTTACTATTCATGAACGACCTTTACTGTTCATGATTATGACTCTTACTATTTACGACTTTTTTACATGACTCTACCCTTTACATTATTTGTTTTCAATAGCTGCCTCNCGACCCTTTACATTATTTGTTTTCAATAGCTGTCTTCTTCTTTTGTCTTCTTTCTTGATATCTTTATTCCAGTTGGACTTCCGGTACTTGGTTATCTTCTCCGTTGCATTTCGAACATATGTGGTCTGGATATTTGTGTCCCACTAGTTTGCAGTATCTTGTTAATAATTCATTAGAAATAAATTCCTTCTTTAGAGCTCTTGTAGTTGGCTGTACTTCTGGTTTTAGCAATGATAAAATCCATTTTTGGACTTCATCCATATCTCCTTGTCGTAGTTCTTTTGAGTTGGCATATATCATTAGCTGGTCTCTTGAATAATAGCTCCAAATAGCATTTCCTTGTAGATAATTGTTGGCTAGCTCTTGAATAATAGTTGCTATGCCAATTATTCTTTTGTTGGCATAAAAACTTGGTATCTCAATTTTCGGTATTTCTGGTTGTTGCTCTATTTCTTCCGGTATTATCATATCTCGTGTTAATCCTATCTTTACTACCTGTATGATAGGTTTTATTTCATCGTATAATATCTCAGCGGGTGTTGTATAGAATTTTATGAAAAATAGGTTGCCTTTTGTAATTCTTATGAAGGTAATGAATGCTTTGTATATTTCTGGTATTCCACTTATCTCTTCTCCGTCGTAGGTATATACAGTGCTAAGTAACCCGTAGTTGTAACATGTCTTTACTAGATTGGCTTTTGTTTTTGGTTGGGCTATTAGCCTATTATATCCTTGGAGTTTTTGAGTTATATAATCATGTGTTGGATCTGTAGTAGTAGCTGCTCTGGAATTTAGGTTTAGAAATGTTTGAATTTTGTATATATTCTCAATATATGTCTGAGTAATATGGTTGTATATCTTTTTGTTGTGATGTAGGCCGTTGGCATAGGTTGTGATTTGTGGGGTCATAACTATTGGTTCTTTTGGCCTTTTTGATGTAAATGGTTTATCAAATATATTGTTTAAATTCACATTGGTATGTGGCTTCTTGTTCACCTGTTTACTTGTGCCTGCAGCTGTAGGTAAACAAACTTTGTCATGGGTTTTATGGAGTTTCCCAACATCTCCTTTTATCTCTAGAAGTTTCGAGTCTTCTGATCGACTTAGCTCCGCATTTTTATAGTCATGTTGCTCACTTTCTAGCTGTTGTAATCTTTTGCCCATACTATCCATCTGTAAGGATAGAGTAGTAAGGATTGCAAATATATCTTTCGATTCTTGGTTTTCATCAGTTTGAGTACTTTTGTCTTGATAAGTAATCTGCAATAACATTTTTGTCAGTCCGTATTACTTCAATTGTAAATGTAAAATTTTGTAAATTCAATACAAGTCTTCTTATTTCCTTTGTAGTTACTGAATCTTGTACTTTCCGTGTTATCCACCATTTCACTTGTGTATTATCTGTTCTTACAATAAACTTGTTACAAAACAATATATGGCTCAAATGCTATCAAACATTTATATAATCCAAATAGTTCTTTCCTATTTATATCCCATTTTAATTGTGGTTCCGTGTATGATCCTGAATAATATCTACAATGGTGTTCAATTTTTTCATTATCATATTTATATTTTAGAACTCCTCCGTAGTTGTGATCACTAGAATCAGTTTCCACTATGTATGTGAACTGTTTTTTTTATCTGGAAAATATAGTTTTGGTAATTTTTTACACATAATTTTGATTTTCTTTATATGTATTTTATCTTTTTTGTCAAAATGGTATTCTACATCCTTTTTTAATTTTTTCTGTAATGGTTTTAAGTTTTCTGCTAATTTAGGGATATATTCTCTTACTTGGTTAACCAATCCTAAAAATGATTGTAACTTCTTCTTTGTATCCAGTGTTTCATTTAAGTTAATTATTTTTTGTACTATATGAGTTTGCATTTTTATTCCATTTTTACCTATTTGTATACCTAAGAATTCTATTTGATTCTTCATTACATCCGCTTTCTTTTTACTCAAACTAATTCCTGATATTTCTACAATGTGTATGAATTTTTCTAGTAGTTTTATATGTTCGTTCTCTGTTCTAGAATATAGCAATATATCATCTATATATATTATACAATTTTCTAATTGGTTGAAGTAATTATCCATAAAATGTTGATACCTACCTGGTGCATTTTTATATCCAAAAGGTAATACGTTCCATTCGTAAAATCCTTGTGGTACTGTGAATGCTGTTAACTTTTTAGATTCATCTTCTAGTTTTAAATGGTAAAATCCTGATTTACAGTCAAATTTACTAAAATAGTTATATCCTTGTATTTGTCTAATTTTTAGTATTTTATTTGGTATCGGATAATTATATGTTTTTGTTTTTGCATTTAAGTTTCTATAATCTATAACCATACGGCTTTTTCCTCTTTTTTGTTCACTATGCTTATTTACTATAAATGCTGGGCTAGTATGTTTACTATTACTTTCTTGTATGTAGTTATTATCTAATAATTCTTTTATATGCATTTTAAATTCTGTTAAATCATTAAAATTGTATTTTAAAGGTTTTTGTGTTATTATGCTATTTTTATCTATTAGTTCAATCTTTATTTTTATTTTATGTTTTTCCCATCCTTGGAGTGGATTATCATTATATAGTAATTCTAATTTATCTTGTAGTGGTTTTATCTTATTTATTGAGAAAATGATTATTTCTATATTATTATTGGTTTGTATTACATTTTCTAATTTTTGGGTAATTTTTTCACTTCCCTTAATCCAGGGTGTTGCTTTTCTTACTTTATTATTTACTCTTTTTGCTCCTAATTTTTGTTTACACGGGGTAGTAAACCACCAATGTGTTTTTGTTATAATATGTGGGTATAATTTATCTAAAAATGG